GCAGTAAATCAAGAGGTGAGGCGCCAGGGCATGCTCATTGAAACGTGCACACAGGGTCTTGACTGCTGTGGTCAGTTGTCCCTAAAGAAGTTAATGATATTTGAGATTCCACAGCAGTGAGGATGTGTTCTAGTCCCTGCTCTTGGGCTTGAGGATTTCATTCTGTCTTGAATGTCCACCTCTATCCTTAGATGAAACCCTAGGACATAACCAATGTTAAAATTACTTTTTGATCATTTCCTTTTATTCGTTTTTTTAAAAAAATATTGACAATCCAGGAAAAGAAGGAACTGTGTGAACTGGCTGTATAACTTCTGTGCTTTCTTAGGGCTAATTTCTGTACATTTCTAGGCCGAGAGAGACAATCTATTTTTGTACTGGCAAGCAGAATGCACACTTTAGTTCTGGATTCTAAATAAAGTCAGCTTCTGCAAAGGCGAACGTGACCTGATGGTTTAAAATCTTATCCTTCAAGAAGAAAAGGCAATTACTTTGTTTTTTGAGATCAACTGTAATAAGGGTCAATCCTACATTTTGGTACTAGGTTTTCTTGTTGCTCTGATTCACAACTGTTTACCAAATAAGTTTAAATGGTACACACACACACACACGTATGCACACGCACGCAACCATGGAAAGCTCTATGTACAGGGAACTGGCTAGTACACAGGATGGCAGGTGGCGATCATATTGTTGATGTTGTCTCTTGTGAGGCTGTGTCTTGGACAGATCACAGGGGGCACACATCTGAATGCAGGAACAGAGCATGACCCCATGCAGGAGAGCGTCTGGTTCAGTCCATCCCCCTTCCCAGAGAGGTGAGAGGTGAAAAAGTACAGTCAGGGAAGTTGAGTGACTTGTCCAAGTCCCACAGCTGATTGGGGTCAGAGACTGAAGTAGGACTCGCCTCTCCTATTTTCCCTGTTCTAGACCTTTCCATTCAGTCAAGCTAAATTCTTCAATGTTTTAAAAGCTGTGACATAGGTCACTGGATACCTAGCCAACATCTCTCCGGCAGGTGCTGGGTAGAGGTGATGTGTTGGAATCCTGTTTGCATTTCATCAGTATTACCTTGATATAAGAATTCAACTGAAGCCTCTCTGTGGCCATTTCTGCTCTTCCACATGTAAATCTTTGTGACCATTAACATAAAAAGGATGGATTGACTTCTGGCTGGGGGACATAAATCACCCCAACTTTTGACAGCAGAGTTAGAAAAAAAAAGAAAAGATTAATTGGTTTTGTTTCCTGGCTTATTGTTTATTGTGATAGCTATTAAAAATAGATAACCAGAGGCTAATAAATGTTAATGGTCCCTTCACCATTAGAAAAATCAATTGTCAGTGAATATAGCATATATTAATGTATTATTTTGTTTATAATCTCCAAGAACATTTAAAAATTTACCCATGAGAGAGTGATTTCTTGAAACTCTTTAAAGTTAATGGTTACAACAAAGAATAGATTTGGCAGGAGGACATTTTCATCTACATATAATTTTAATGGCTTTCAAAGCAGTATTTTATAATTATAATAAAATGCATGTGCAGTTTGTCAAGATTGATAAACTCCTTATCAAGGACTCTTACATATTTCTTTGAAACCTGTTTGAGAGCAGTTAAATAGATTTCTAAGTGTAAGTAATTAAAATTGTATAGTATTGAGTTATTGATCAATCCTGGACTATTAATCAAGCTAAAAAATTCTACAATCAGTGCTCAGTGTGCTGAAGTCTGGTAAAATAATAGTATTTGTGTTCAGTGAGGCAAGTAGCCACAATTAAGCACTTCGCGTGACAAATGAGAGGGTACACTTTATTTTGCACTTAATTGAATTGTTGTACATGCTCGGCCACCATTGTCTCCTAGCCCTGTGTTTTGGTTTCTGGTCATCAGAGCTTGTATGTTTGTTAAAGGGAGAGCAGTTAAGTCCATTTCTCGGGTGGCTTTCTAAATGCAGCCAGAGATGCCTGGGCTGCAAACCAGGGCTTCGTGAGTGCTGTTAATATCCCTCATGACAGATTCTTAATTTTCCTAACAAAAATTTTGATAAACAAATTGGAGCCCTGTCGAAGAATGACATGAAATAGCTTCAAAGAGGGAAAACTGCCCAGGTTTTATATCACTCTGCAGATTTTGCTTAAGTAAGCAGAAGAACTTCTGTGGAAAAGATAGAATTTTAATCTATTATATGAAAACCAAAAATTGATTTAATTCTCACGAGCTGGAAAGAATGTTCTCTGATCATCTTGCTAATTATCAGGTATTTGTCACCACTTCCTTGCATTTGTTGTGCATCGCAGTCACCCTTCTGCAGGCACAGTGACATCCTGTCATTCCTGTGCTGCTATAAATCACCGCTTCTACCAGATTAAACTGGGGAGCTGACGTTCAAGAAAAAGGCCCAATGGATAAATATTATTCGGGGGCCAGAGGAGAGTAAGGAGAAGTCAGGGTTTATTTTTCAAAGAAACAAATCTGGGCACATACCTGTGTTCGCCTGTGCGATGTCAGACGACTCCAAGTTGAGGTTGTGCTAGAGACAGATCGTGAGACAGTGGAGTACTTATTAAAACACTGCTGACTTGCCTGCGTGTTTTCCTGGCACTTAGAATAAGGCCCACATGCCCTAGAGCAACCTTGGCATCAAGAGCTTATTTCCTATGAGGACAGTTTATCCTCAGTTTTCTGAACCGACAGAGATAATAAGGACCACTTTCCCTGCCGCAGAGGATGATTGTAAAGATTAAACTAGATAAGTGACTTTAAACCCTTTTGAAAAGTTAAAAGTGCCATGGAATTATGAGAGACAATTACATATTTTCTCTTGTAACATTCTGGTTAATCAAGTCTGCACTCTCCATGCTCCCAAAACACATTATTATTTGCCCAGGGGAGGGGATAGAAACAAGAAAATAGGGGTTCTTGAAACGGTAGAGTTAATACCTGAAAAAAAATAATCGTTTGGGAATTAATGTCTCAGCGGTTCTTTGAATTTTGTTCCTGTGGCAACAAGTCAGGTAATGGGAACCTAGAGGCTGAAGTTCTCTGCAAAACAGAAAATGTCACCCCAAAGCTGTGGCCTTTGCCTCCTGCTGCTTGCCGCTGACCGCCAGGGGCAGTAGTGACCAGGCGGCCTCTCTCTGTGTTTCAGACCTTACCAGTGCGGCCACTGCTCCCAGTCCTTCTCCCAGCCTTCAGAACTGAGGAACCACGTGGTCACGCACTCCAGCGACCGGCCTTTCAAGTGCGGCTACTGTGGCCGTGCCTTTGCCGGGGCCACCACCCTCAACAACCACATCCGCACCCACACTGGAGAGAAGCCCTTCAAGTAAGTAGCGGCGAACCTGTCGCCCGCCTGGTTCCCAGCCCTTTCCGAGAGCGCGACAGGCGGGTCGGCGCGGCCGGCTGGTGAAGGCTGCTTGGAAGGTCAGTGGCCGGGCTGCAAAGCGACCTACTTGTTTAGTGGCTCGCATTTGGAAAATAGAGTCAGGAAACCAGTACATTGACCCTCGCTCGAGCTGTTCAACCTTGGACACAAGACAGTCTGGGTCTGCTTTCTCATCAGTAAAACAAGGAAGTAGGAGTAACTCAGGTTGATTCTTTCTGGTTCCTAAGGATCCTTGCTTCTAGCATTGGGGCTAGGAGCTCAGTTCTGGCCTACATCTTATGGCCATCAGCAGGCCCCACGACCATCAGCAGGGTGCCCACAGTTTTGGCCGTCTCTTGAGGAACTTGAACCCTGTAGGATTCTGGTGAACTATTTCCTTCTCTTTTCCTGTGCGTTAAAGATGTTTGACTCTGTTATAGTAGCCAACTTACAATTTTCAGTGTGCCTTTTGGATCAGAATTACCACATTGGTTAAAAAAAGAAAAACAAAACACAGGGCACGTCTAAGTTCTTGAAGATTCAAATTCAGGGAATGTAAAAAGAAGGGGAACTGAATTCCAAGGGCTTTGGCCGAGTGAGAGAGTGTGTTTCTAGATATAGCACAATCATGAAAGCGGTGGACATCTGAGTCATGCAAGATGGCCTGTTCACTCACTCATTCATGAATGTGCTCATTCATTCAGCAAATATTTGCTGAGCGCCTTCTTTTGTACTAGGCACCCTTTGAGGCACAAGAGATACAAAGGTGAATGAGACTAGCCCCCCGGTCTTTGAAGACCTCATAGTTTTTGGGGAAGCCCAGTTGATAAACAAGTATTAACCACATAGGGTGAATGGTGCAGAAGTGACCTGCGGTAGACTTCAGAACTGAGGAACCAGGTATCTCAGGGTAGCACAGAAGTGGAGTAATCAATGCTGTCTACGGGAGATGATGTCTGACCACATTTTTCTAAATTTTATTTTTCAATTGCAGTTCACATTCATTATTATTTTGTGTTAGTTTCAGGTGTACAGCATAGTGGTTAGATAATCATATACTTTACAAAGTGATCCCCTGATATTTCAAGTTCCCATCTGACACCATAGTTATTACAAGATTGTTGACTCTATTCCCTATGCTGTACTTTACATCCCCATGGCTGTTATGTAACTACCCTTTTGCGCTGCTTAATCTCTTCACCTTTTCCACCCAGCCCCCCAGCCCCCTTCCCCTCTGGCAACCATCAGTTTGTTCTCTGCATCTGAGCCTGTTTCTGTTTTGTTTCTAAGATGTGTTTTGAAGGATATGTAGGAGTTTTCTAGCCATACAAAGGAAAGTGGCATTTCTTGTAGTCCAGACAGCGTATGGAAGGCTTGGGAATGTGAAATAGTGTGTGTGACGGGTCGGTCATCTCAGAGCAGTTGCTACTGTGTAATGGGCTCTTTTCTGTTCAAGCTCTTACATCTCTCTTTACTCACTTACGCTACTGGTTAAGAAGGAAAATAAAAAGGGCACAGATGTATAGCTTATTTACCTTCTGTCGGACAAGATCAGCAAGAAAGGAAATTATTCAGGCAGCAGGAAACTAATCCCCTTGCTCAGTGTCAGCCAAGGAGTCTTCCTGCACTCGCATTTCCCGTGAGTCCCCGCTGGACCGCCAGGCCTGAGTCGCCGCGGTGCTCAGCCTAAGGCCAGGCTCAGCTCGGGGCAGCAGCATCCTGTTCCGCCAGCAGGGGGAGGGGCCCCTAAAAGGCTGCCATCTTCACTCACCTCCCCATGTGTTCGTTACCTTTATTCATGATTCCTGTTTGCCATTGTGGCTTAATTGAATAAATATGAAACTACTTAATAAAAATAGTTTTAATTTTCGTCTTTGTACATGGTTGCTGCTTATTACTGCATAAAGGCATCTGGCTAAGGGGACTGGGTGGGTTCTAAAATCGAGCCCACATTAATGCCAGCAAGCTGTGATCTCTGGGCCTGAGACAGCTCAGAGGGGCTGCTTCTTTTAATTCTCCCTAAGGACCAGATGGGTTAGCACAGCCCTAGAGTTCCCTATGGCAGGTGTTTGAGTCCTGCAAGGTGGACTTTGTCATTGCACTCAGGCCTGACACTCAGGGGGGTCACAGATTCTGGCTTCCCGCCTGCGCTGGATGTGGAAGGTGACAGTGGCACCTCTCCCCAAGAGCCTTTGAGCAAGAGAGCTTTTTAAAATTATTCATTTATTTATGTATTTATGTCTGTATGTATTTATTTGGTTTATTTTTGAAACTATTACAAATGTCCCCCATTTTCC